TGAGGTAGCTAAAGGAGCTTTCAATATACTCTGGCAAATTAAAACAGAAATTTTGTTACAGGAGATACTTTGACTCACCTTTACTGAATAATGTGCTAAGCATAAATCCAAAGAAGATTGAAGCAACAGCATAACACATCAGAAAGAGAAAGATGAAGCCAGAGTCACTGTAGCGGAAGATTGGCTTATTAAAAATCTGAAATAAAACAATTACTCCATCAACTAAAGCATGGATTAAGTAGTGTCACACAAACACAGGTGAAGAGCCAGAAAATTATGTCCTAATGTAACATATCAGTTATTAAAACTGAATGCCTCAGAATCAGCCCTAAAGGCATTCCGATCTGGCTGAAAAGCCCATGAGAGTATTTCAGGCATGGAAAGCCAAGACACTCTGGCAAAAAAAAATCTAAATGAAAGATCTCTGTGAGTGAGATCCCGGTGGAAAGAACAGGTCTTCAAAGAAGGAGGTACCTTTCTCTGAAGGGAGGAGAGAACCTCCACTTTGACTATGACCTTGTCTAAACAAGATAAGAGTCGGAGAACTCAAGGGGCTTCCATAGCCTTGGAAACTCATGACTGGAGCATGGGGAGATTACTGATGCCGTAAACAGGAGTGTCAATTGGTAAAGTCAACAACAGGAGTCACTGTGCACTTACTCCTCATGTAGGATCTCTGTCCTTAATGTGCTGTACATTGAGACTTAATGCTATAACGAGTACTCAAACAGTATATTTCACTTTGTGTTTCTATGTGGGTGCAAACTGTTGAAATCTTTACTTAATGTATACTAAACTGATCTTCTGTTAAAAAAAAAAAAGAAGAAATTATCAATTCCCAACTTGACTCTCACTGGGATTAAACATGGCAATAGGTCTGATCTGATTTCATCATCATTTAAAAAATCATCTATTATTTTTCACTTTATGTTTGTGTGGGAGCAAACTGTTGAAATCTTTACTTAATGTATGCTAAACTGATCTTCTGTATATAAAGAGAATCGAAAATGAATCCTCATGTGAATGGAAGGGGAGAGGGAGTGGGAAAGGGGAGGGTTGCAGGTGGGAGCGACTTTATAGGAGGGAAGCCATTGTAATCCATTAATCGTACTTTGGAAATTTATATTCATTAAATAAAAGTTAAAAAAAATAAAAAAAAAACTCAGTGAGACAGGAAGTTAACTAAATAACTCTCCTATCGAGGATTTAAATATGGCTTAGAGGTTCAGTAGAATCAGAGTTTCCTTAGTAGAATCAATTGAAAAATATTTCATTTTCCTGGTACCTAAGACTAATCAGCCCACACCATATTTACTCTTTCCCTCTCAAGAGGGGCCGGTGCTGTGGCATCATGAGTAAAGCCACGGCCTGCAGTACCGGCATCCCATATGGACGCCGGTTCGAGACCCAGCTACTCCACTTTCGATACAGCTTTCTGCTATGGCCTGGGAAACCAGTAGAAGATGGCCCAGGTCCTTGGGCCCCTGCACCTGCATGGGAGACCCAGAAGAAGCTCCTGGCTCCTGGCTTCAGATCAGTGCACCTCCGGGCATTGCAGCCAACTGTGTAGTGAACCAGCGAATGGAAGACCTCTCACTCTCTCTGCCTCTCTTTCTCTCTGTGTGTAACTCTTACTTTCACATAAATAAATAGTCTTCAAAAAAAAAAAAAAAGAACTAAGTTGTATACTTGGTAGCCATTAACCACTTTTAGCACTTGAAATGTAGCTAGTTTGACGAACAGAAGTTTTAGTGTTATTTAATTATCCTGAATTTGAATAAAAGTACTACAGCAGTGTCAAACACAGATAAAGTATTTCTTAAAAAATTACTGTCCCATCAAGGTGGCATGCACCAATGGTATCTAACTAGTCAAAGTGATCAGTTTCAGTTCAGAATTGATCATAATGATAGGACTAAGAGTCAAAGGGATCACACAAAGAATACTAGTGTCTGAAACTACTAACCGATATAATAAAAAAAAAAAAAAGGGAGAGAACGAGCCAACATGGGAAGCGGGATACACAGCAGACTCATAGAATGGCAGATGTCCTAAACAGCACTCTGGCCTCAGAATCAGCCCTTAAGGCATTCGGATCTGGCTAAAAAACCCATGAGAGTATTTCAGGCGTGGAAAGCCAAGACACTCTGGCAAAAAAAAAAAACCAAAAAAAAACCAAAAAAAACAAAAACAAAAACAAGCCTAAATGAAAGATCTCTGTGAGTGAGATCCCAGTGGAAAGAAGGGGCCATCAGAGAAGGAGGTACCTTTCTCTGAAGGGAGGAAAGAACATCTGTTTTGACTATGGCCTTGTCTAAATAAGATTACAGTTGGCGAACTCGAGGCTTCCATAGCCTTTGCAGCACATGACAAGAGCCTTGGGTGATTATTGACATCATAAATAAGAGTGTCAATTTGTTAAATCAACAACAGGAGTCACTGTGCACTTACTCCCCATGTAGGATCTCTGTACTTAATGTGTTGTACTATGTGAATTAACGGTATAGCTAGTACTCAAACAGTACTTTACACTTTGTTTTTCTGTGTGGGTGCAAACTGTTGAAATCTTTACTTAGTATATACTAAATTGATCATCTGTATATAAAGATAATTGAATATGAATCTTGATGAAGAATGGGATGGGAGAGGGAGTGGGAGATGGGATGGTTGCAGGTAGGAGGGTGGTTATGGGGGGAAGTAGCCGCTATAATCCAGAAGTTGTACTTTGGAAATTTATATTTATTAAGTAAAAGTTAAAAAAGTAAATTCAGAAGTGAAAAAAATTACCATCTAAATTCAGATACACTGTAAATAAAAAACATACTGGATTTTGAAGATTTGGCTCAAAGAAGAATATGAAACAACTCAATTTTTAAATTGCTTACATGTTGAAATATATATATGTAAGTTAAATGTTTATTAAAATAATTTTATATATTTCTTTTAACTTGAAACATTTCTGGTGCCTATATATATGAGCCATTATATTTTTACTGGACAGCATAAAACTAGATACTTGCCTTGGCAAAGAACAGCACACATATCAAAATGATAATAATGATATACCAAAGGAAGGATGTGAAGAAATAGGCAGCCCAGATCATCCAGTTTCTGAGTCCAGTTATGAGTTGGTATTCCTGTAGGTTAGCACAACACAAACCAGGTATCTCATGTATCTTGAATTAATAGGGCTTTCCTGTATGTTTTTCTTATTCCATCCCTACTGAAACTTATATAAATGGATTATATTATATCTGTTTTGTGAATGAGAAACATCAAGGTTCAGAAAGTCAAATGTGGTGATAAAAATCATACAGTTAATAAAGGCACGTATTACTGGCATAAAAACGTATTTCTCCTGAGTTCATAGACCTCTGTTTCGATATTATACCTGTTTTAATCAAAATGAAAAACATTTCAAATAAAACTTAAAAGCACCAAAATGAATATCTCATTTCTATGTATTCTACTTCCAAGATTATTACAGAACTATGTAATAATAGGTTCTTTTTTCTCCTATTGCTGCTTCACAATTTTCTTGATAGTTTGCATGTAATATGCCTAGAGAGGTGTGTGGATATGTGTGTGTGCGTGTGAGAGAGAGAGAGAGATATTTATTCTGCATTATTTTCTCTGTGCTTCTTGGATCTGGTTTCATGTATACCATTAATCTTGGAAAATTCTCTGCCAGTATTTCTTTAAGTATTTTATTTGTTATTTATCTCATCTCCTTTATGGTATTCCAATGATGCTATCTTATACCTTTTGGATGATATTTCTAGATTTTTACATTTTTCTCTTTGCATTGAAGTTTCTGTTATTTCTACTGTCTTACATTCAATATTCAGATTCTTTCCTCAGCTGGATCAGGTGCACTGATGAGCCTGTCAATAGCATTCTTCATTTCTGATTGTGTGGTTTTTATTTTCACCAATTCCATTTGACTCCTACTTATCATTTTGATTTCTGTATTACCTATCTGATCATGCATGTTACCCACTGTGTAAAAAAGAATTAAAGCACAATTCCTGAGATTGCTATTGTTAGAAAGACATGTTTGCCAAGACTGGTCCTTGGCTGGCAGAAGGGACCTTGGTGAGTTAATTGTTCCCTACACTTATTTGACATTTTGCTGATAAAAGTGGCTGACTGTGTCTAAACTATTTGTACAAGCACTATGGTATATACTGTATATCTAATTTCTTGGTGTTTGGAATTTTGGTACATGCTGGACAAAGGGTATGCCTACATAACCAATTCCCACTTGAAACGTTAGGTGGTGAGTCTTTAATGGATTTTCATGGATAGGAACATTGTAAACATGTGACCACATTTTTACTGCAGAGGCAAAAATGCACTCTGTAAATTTTTATAGTTTACCTGAGGAAGCCAATAGGTTGATTTCTCCGGGCTTTGCTTATGTCTTTTTCCCTCATGATCCAGCTTTGAATTCCTACATCACTACATTAAATCCTAGCTGTGAATATAACTGCATGCAGAGTCCCATGGTACTTCTAATGAATCTCAGAAAATAGGAGTGATCTTATGGATCTTGTACAAATCGATCTTTTCATTCACAGACTTTAAAATATTCCTTATAGTTATTTTAAATTCTCTGACATTTCCAACACCTGTGTCTTAATAGAGCTTGGTTCTGATGACTTATTTGGACTATGTTTTTCTTGCCTTTTGCTACAACTGGTAATTCTTTGTTCAAACTCAGACATGCTGTCTAGGGCAGCAGATACTAAGATAAACACTCTTAGTGTGGGGACTTATATTAATTTAGCCAGGAGCTGTGTTGTGTTTGAAACACACTGTTGCTTTGGATACCAGAGACTTTATGTTCCTCTAGTGACCACTTTTTGTCTCCCTCCCTGACTTCTAGTTTTGATTTGTACTGCTTTTCAGAGACAGTTTGTTTCTTAGGTTCTCTCAGCTTGGAAAACTGATTAGTGGCATCAGTACTCACTCCTCCTGTCCTATATTTGGATTTACTACTTCAGGGATGTAACAGCTATCTACTGGTGCTGAGTATATAGAAATAATCCACCTTTCCATACGAAATATTTCTAAAGGCCTAAAGGAACTTTATAGAGACTTCAAAAAGTAACCAAGATTACCTTCAATCTTTTCTCCTTTTCCCACACAATGTAACGAATATTGGAAAGTACAATTGGAGAGAACATGAGCATGAATATCAAAGGGAGAAAAGAACTAATGATCCAAAGTAATCCATCATGACAATAAGCTGGGTATGGAAACCTCTGTACAAAGATGCTAATACCATCAAATAACTTTTGTCCAGTAGTGTTCTCATGATACAGCATGATGGCCTTATCCAAGGCATATTGTACAACCAGGAATCCTTCTCTGATATACCCTGCATGATAGAGCAAACACTGTCAAGTAAAACAGACTAAGGAACAGCTCAGGCACACAAAGAAGTAAGAAGTCATAGGTTGTCACAGAATCAAAACTGAATCTTTTATCCAGATTAGTTGTACACAATTATTCCAACAACCTATCAAATTTTTTTTTTTTTTTTTTGACAGGCAGAGTGGACAGAGAGAGAGACAGAGAGAAAGGTCTTCCTTTGCCGTTGGTTCACCCTCCAATGGCCGCCGCTGCAGCCGGCGCACCGCGCTGATCCGATGGCAGGAGCCAGGGTCCAGGTGCTTTTTTCCTGGTCTCCCATGGGGTGCAGGGCCCAAGCACCTGGGCCATCCTCCACTGCACTCCCTGGCCATAGCAGAGAGCTGGCCTGGAAGAGCGGCAACCGGGACAGAATCCGGCGCCCCAACCGGGTCTAGAACCCGGTGTGCCGGCGCCGCAAGGTGGAGGATTAGCCTAGTGAGCCACGGCGCCGGCCAACCTATCAAATTTCATACGTGACATAAAATTAAGGATAATTCTTCATCTGAATCTGATTCACATGGTTCCCAAATTAAAATTCTAATGGAATTGGTACACTTGCCAAATATAACTTCTGTGTATAAAAATAATGCAGGCTTAAGTAAAGATTGGAGAAGTTAAAAAAGAAATTTTAGCAGACTCCTAAACGGCAAAAAATAATGAATCACATGAAATTAAAGACTTCTTCAATAGAAGATGGCATGGATAAACTCAGAGATTAGAAAAAGATACTTTTAACAGTGGGAACCAAGAATGTATCTAGAATACACACTGGAACTTTCGAATATAAACCTTTAAAGTATACATTACTATGTTTGAAACTCTGTGTTCTGTAAGTGGAATACTATTTTAAAGTTTTAAAATATTAAAATGTTATCTTCTGGTGATATAATATGAAGATTAAGCACTGTTTACTAATCCTTCTTAGATTTATGCAACTGATATCTTAATTTTCCACTCATTTCCTAGCCTATGCTTAATCTTGGTACTCTTGTCTTCTTTTGATTAATTCTCCTAAATCTGAATGTTAGCAAGTATTCAGTTCTTCTTCTATAAAATTTCCTCTTCTAAATTAATGTAGTATTAAGGGATCTTCTGGTATTTTGCCTGTCCTCAAGTAACACATCACATTAAGTCCAAAAGTGAACTGATGGAGTAACACCCCAATCTCTGAGGAAAAATACTTCACTAAAGTATCTTGGTCAATTATATAATTACTAGTATATAAGTATAAAGTGTGAAACATGGGTAGTGTTCTTTGCTCAATGATAGCATACAACAAAAATATATTTTTTCAAACACAAAATCCAATTATGTGAACTATGAGTACTATCATGTATACAGGTCCATCCACTACCATGTATCTCATTCCTCCTACTCATGCTAATTATTTCTATGTCTAACTCATAAATTCCAGGAGAAATTTTATAACTTCTTCATCCTTCACAATAGAGTTTTAATGACCTTCAGCACTCATCTCTAAAAGTCTTCCACATGTACCTTTTATTCTAGCTATAGGAAACATTTTCAGGCTGAATAGAGTTGCCTATTAATCATCTCATTTTCCAGCCCTGCCAAAGGGACCACAAAAAAGAACAAGAAACCCTATGGCAATTGGAGTGACTGAGAAAGTATAGTGGGGAAGAACATGGAAGAGATGATTTTCCTGTGGAACACAAAAACATAAGACCACATATAGGAGTGAGGCATCCTTTTTGTTCCACACTGTCTTTTCCATAAGGATCAGCTCAGAACCAAGATAGGGAAAGGTAAGCCAAAGACCCTAACGGGTCCCTATGGCTACTGCATAAGACTGCACAGGAGACTTCCATAGCCCTCACAAGCATTTAACTCAGTTTGGAGAATTTTCCAGAGTTCATATGGCAGTATAGAGTCACAGAATAGAGCTTATGTCATATACTTCCCTAGGCCCATTATCTAAGCAGCTATAAATTGGTGCCACCTTGAAACTAAACCCACTTTTACAGTTAATACTGTCATGATGACTAGTAGACACTGTATATCTCCGTTCTTGAGATTCTGCTGCCATTCTACAATATATTTACTGGGGTGGCCCCACAGCATGATGTCCACAAATATTCAGATCCTCAGCCTAGCAGAAGGGAAGAGACTTCAGTTTCTAAACTCATATGGCAACCCATCCCCCAGAGAAAGGCTGATACACAGCCAGAAGCCCATGCTCGACTGTTCCTTGTCTGACAGCCAGCTAGGTGGCAGGCCCATCCACCATAGAGCTGGCTGGCCTGTAGCACTCACATGCACTGTAGCCAACCTGACAACCAGCTGTGTGGCAGTCTACCCACTTTCTGTGAGTCCACTATGCAGGTACCAGCTGGAAGCACTTCTCTGCACCTGCTATCAGACCAACAGCCAGTCAAGAGGTGGTCCTCTTCTACTGGTATGCCTGGCAGTCTGCAGTGCCTGTGTGTATCTGAGCCAGGCACAACTGTCATCCAGACAGTGGCCCCACCCTTCCAGTTACCCTATTGCACAGCCAAAGGCCTGTAGTTCCTGTGCAACTGAGCCTGGCCTGATAGCCACCTAGACAGTAGCTCCTTTCCCCCAGAGACATTACCACACAACTTGGGAAATAGTAGCATCTCTGCATAACTAACACAGGTCCAAAAGCCAGCTAGATGGTGGCCCCACCCAAGAGATCACCTTACAGCTGCTGGCCCACAGCAACCTGCAGATACTCATATCCCATCCACAGGTGCTCACACCCCACAGTCAGTGAGGCAGTGGCCCTGTCCCTAGAAAAATGGCATTATGTCACTGTGGTCACAAATATCCACAGCTTAGAACAATGAAGCAGTTAGAGATGTTGCTGATAAAAATTTCTGCTAAAGAAACTGCATAGAGATTATAGTATGGAGTCTAGCCAGAATCAAAGGTAACACAGCACACCCAAATGACACCCTAGCTCCCATACATAGGAAAAATACTTCCCTTTGAAAAAAAAGGCCCCAATAATATTGGAAATGGTGACTGCCACACTAAATGTGCAGATACCAACATGGGAGCTCAAGCAGTATATAAAAGCAGGAAAACATGACATAAGGGCACACAATATGTCTCCAATAATAAGACCCTAAAGAAAAACAAACATGAAACATTTGAAAAGGAACTCAAAATAATGATCTTAAGGAAGCTCATGAGATACAAGTGTACAAAGGTAAATAATTCAATTAAACCAGGAAAACAATTCATGATCTGAATGAGAAATTCTGTAAAGAGATAAATATAAAGGTAAAAAATCTTTCAACTAAAAAGTGCAATGAATATGACAAAAATTAAGAGCCACAATAACAGACCCCATTAAGCAGAAAAAAGTATTTCTGAATCAGAGAAAGAAAAAGTAAAGAAAGCCTATGAAACCCAACTCCATTTAGCAAATAAATATCCATATTATAGGGTGCTCCAGAGGATGAAGAGAGAGAATAGGGCACAGAAAAATAGTTAATAATACCCAAAAAGCTTTCTAATATTTTGAGAGATGTATATCTGGATCTATGAATCTCAAAGAACCCCTGATTAGACAACCCCAAAATGCCTCTCTCAAAGCACATTATAACCAAACTATGAAAAGTCAATGATAGTGGGCTGGTGCTGTGGTCCAGAAGGCTAAGTCTCTGCCTGTGGCACTGGCATCCCACATGGATGCCAGGTTGTGTCCCATCTGCTTCTCTTCCAATCCAGCTCTCTGCTATGGCCTGGGAAAGCAGTGGAAGATGGCCCAAGTCCTTGGGGCCTGCACCTAGGTAGGAGACTCAGAAGAAGATCCTGGCTTCTGGCTTCAGATTAGCCCAGCTCTGGCTATTGCAGCCATTTGGGGAGTGAATGAGTGGATGGAAGACCTTTTTCTCTGTTTCTCCCTCTCTCTATAACTCTGCCTCTCAATTAAATAATAAATAAACCTTAAAAAAGGTCAATGACAGAGAATTCTAAAAGCAGCAAGAGAGAAATACAAAGTTAACATATATAAAGAAAATATCCATTTAACTAATGGCAGATTTCTCAGCAAAATCCTTGTAATCTAGGAGAGAATGAGATAAGAGAACTTAAAAATGTTTATTGAAAATGGAATTACAAAGAAGTTTATTTTGATGTAAGAAAATCTTGAAATCCATGCATAGTTTTTCATAAAACATTTTTAAAATGATTTTTAAGCAGTCTTGTATATTTAGAGTGACCAAAGAAACAAATAAAGAAAACTTCTCTCAGTCAAGATACTATACCCTGCAGAGCTATCCTGCAGAAATTAAGGAAAAATAAACTCTTTCTTACATAAATAAAAACTGAAGGCATCTTGGCCTTACAAGAAATGCTTAACAGAATCCTGTATCTGGGAGTGAAAGTAATAATCACTATCATGAAAACATGCAGAACTATAAAGCTCACTAGTAAGAGAGATACACAAATGAGAAACAGAAAAGAATCATATTTCTTCACTATGGAAATCTAACAAACCACAGTGATGAACAATAAGAAAGAAATGAACAAAGGATATATAAAACAACCAGAAAAAAAGAACAATATGGATTACATCAAACTAAAAAGTATCTGTACAGCAAAGGAAACAATGGAGTGAATAACTGACAGAATCAAGAAAAACATCTGAATACTATTCATGACAAGAAATTAATATCCAGATTATATAAGGAGCTCAAACCAATCAACAGCACAAAACAAAACAAATAACTGGATTAAAAATGGTTAAATGTAGATCTTGGAAGGCAGCAGTGATAAATGAAGTAACTGGATTCCTGCCACGCACATGGGACAGCTGAATTGGGTTTTTGGCTCCCAGCTTCAGCATGGCCGAGTTCCAGTCTTTGCTGGCATTTGGAGAATGGATTTATCAATGGGACTGCTCTCTTGCTCTCACTCTCTCTGTTTCTCCAATAAATAAAATTTAAAAACTATTTTAAAACTGACAGCATATTGTGGAAGATGTAGCTCAGAGCATCACACTACCCACATCAATTTTTGAGGAAAAAAATATTTTTTGTGCCCTAACTGAAGAGAACCAAACTATTAACAGCACAAATAATAGCTAACACAAAATACACCTGAACTGGTTTATATATCACAATTCTGACTAAAAAAATTCAAGTAGAGCAAATTTATATGCAGAAGCTGAAAGGTTGATCTCTTAAAAGTACGGAATGATGGTTATCAGAATCTGAGAAGGCTGTTGGAGGGGGAGATGCAGGCAGATAGTTGATGAGTACAGGAGTGAAGTTGAGTAGAAGGAATAATTTCTAATATTGTATAGCACAGTGGCATAACTAAAATTGACAGGAACTAATCATGTTTTTCAAAATATCTAGTAGAGAGGATTTTGATTTTTCCCAACTCAAAGGGATAATAAATATTTGAGATAATAATTATCTATAAACATTATATACATGTATTGAAGTGTTACACTGTGCCCTAAATTATTATGTGTCAATTGGAATACAAAAATATCTGAAAAGTAGCAAATAAACAGGTCATACACCCAGCCTTGGCTGTTGTGAGCATCTGGGGAGTGAACTTGTTGATGGAGGATCTCTTTCTCCCTCTGCCTTTCAAACAAAATTAACAAAATGGAAAGAAATAAAAAAGTTTTAAAATGCCATGCAGTTCCATCCTGCATCCTGCCCTCTACATGTTTTTGATTTATTCCCCTTTCCTAGGACAAATTTCCCCCAACTTTGGATAGTTAATTCGTATCAGTTCCTATAGATTCAATTTAAACACCTGCTTTATCAACAGAATTCATAAAGGTTATTTTAAATGACTGTCTAATAGGTTCACCTATTTTCTTACAGTTATGTTGCTCTCAAATTTTTACTGTTATTGTGAGAATTTGCATAGCTCTTTTCTTCTATTGAATGTTTTCTAAAGATACAATTTCAGGAGAGCTGGTAAACCTGAATTCCACCGTAAGGACTTTTCATATAAAACAATATGAAAAACAAAAAGTTGTATTAAAAACTACCAAGAGAATTAAAAAAATTTTTCATCTAGTGAAGAGAATTATATATAGGCATGACAAAGCAAGGAATGTGAACAAATTAAGTAAACATATTTGGAAAGCAGGATACTCAACTACAATTATATAAAGATACATTAATGTAAGAATCAGAAGTGGATAAAACATGATATATCTATAATCTATATATAAAAGCTTACCATAAGTATAGAGTTGAGCATTCATTTTGGTAGAGTAGAAATTTAATTTAAAACTTGTCACAAATTAAGACTAAATGTTGTTTCTCAATAAATGTATGCAGTACACAAGTACACATCCTAGTATGCAACTGTGATAATTAAATCAGATTTGCTTACCAGGACTTCCTCCTTCAGGATAATTTGGGTTCCTGGGTCCTACAGAAGGACGATTAGGAAAGAGGAAGTCTGTTTTCCAGCCTGGTCTGTCTGGCCACCAAACAGTCCTCTGTACCCTAATAAAACGCAGATGATATTTTACCTAGAAGTAGCAATAGGAAACAAGCTATGTTTAAAACAAACAAACAAAAAATCTGTAAAACAAATGTTGGAAATAAAGGAAAGTTAAATGAAAATGGGTAACCATGTGATGTGGAGGATTTCTCTGGTATCAAAGTAATTCTGAATGTCTAAAAATGACAGTAACCCTGAAGCACAACATATATTATTATGCTACAATTATGTATCATTTGAATTCTACTTCAAAGGCAGAAAATGCACAAAACAAGGTATTATACGGCCTATATATATAAGAAAAGAACCTTGATGTTAGACAATGCCATTAGAGGGAAATAAACATTAGACAATGGCCACAATGACCTGAGGAAGGCCAGGCCAAAGTCAGGAACCAGGAGCATCATCTGGGTCCCAAAGTGGGTGCAGGGGCTCAAAGACTTGGGCCATTTTCTGCTGCTTTCTCAGGCGCATTAACAGGGAGCTGGATTGGAAGTGGGGCAGCTAGGACTCAAGCTGACACCCATATGGGATGCCGGCAATCCAGGAGGTGGATTAAACTGTTATGCCTGTCCTGGGACTTGGTTTCTAAGGCTGAAGTAGAGGTCCTCTGACACTTGGACCCAGAACTCCAATAAGGAGCTCCAGTTTCCTAGGACTGGTATCCCTGACAGGATGTGATGAGAGTGATTTTGACAAGTATTGGTTAATCTTTAATATGGGGGTAAACTGCTACTTTCAGAATGAAGTAGTTCCTAAGGAACTATAAGCAGACAAAAAGACAGAAGGAAAGCTCAAGTCCCTTGTCCACTCCTATTAGAGAACCTCACATAGAACTGGCTGGAAAAGCAGAAGTGCAGTTATGCCATCTATAAGCAGACTTCAGTGTGGATTTAGGGTTCAGATACAAATTCAGTGGCCAAAAAGTATGCTAACTTTGCATAAAAAAGGAAAGAAGGATATACGTAGATAAGCAAATTCAATCTACCAATCAATTTATCTAATTTTTAGATGCCCTGCAAAGGAAGTTACAGATATCAGCACAATTCCACCAAAATAATCATTAAGTAATCAATATTTGATTATAATTCGTATTTAGGTGAATGCATAATAAAATAGCCAAATGATAAATGCGCACTTTACGAGTTTTCATAGTTGACAATGCATACACTTAATTATAACATAAACTACCATCAAGATACACACTGCCCTCACCTCAGAAAGCACTCTCGTGTCTTCTCCCAGTCAATCTCTATCACAACTCCTTACCATAGATTTATTTCACCATGGAGTAATTCTGCCTGGTTTAGGAGCTCACACAAATGGAATCATACACTATTGTACTCTTTTGTATAAACTTTCTTTTAGAGGACATGAACCAAGATGGTGGCTGCATAGGATGTTGTAAGGACAAATTTTTAGGATGAAGAGGCTTGTATCTAGATTCGGCTCTGGAAACAAGTAACTTGTCTGCCGGATGACCTTCTCCTGCTTCTTGGGAGCCTGGCCAGTTCCCAGGGAGGAGGATAAAGGGATGTTTCTGATAAACAGGTGGGCATGCTTCGTGTCTCGGCTCTCTGGCCAAGATCCGAGACGGGACGCACTGCTTGCCTAAAACCTTGGCAATGAGCCCACTTTGTCCTTGGGGGCTTTAAGAGGGAGCCAGAACAAACCTCTGCTGCTGCTGTTCCATCCCGGTGGAACACGCAGTCATGCTGGACGTTGAAAGTGCCCATGATGACTACTGATGATGCTTAGTTCTCAGTAGGGATCCTTTTCCGGTGCTGTTTGTTCCATGATGATTACTGATGATGTCTGGTTCTCAGTATGGATCCTTTTCTGGTGCTGTGTAAAGATTGCCTAGTGGTAAATTCCCAGGTTGAGTCCCTACTCTTAGGGACTCTCCCCGCTTCTTTCTCTCTCTCTCTCTCTGCCCTACTTCTTAAAATTTGCTACTTAAATAAACTACTTGTTTCTTTATACTACAAGGCTTGCAGAGTATTTCTTGCAGATCGAACTAAAAGTAACTAAGTCTGTGCACAGCAGACAGCTAAGAAATAATTTGCTGCCACAGATGTTTTAGTTATATCTCTACAGAGATACAAATTTGAACAGTTACTCATGCATCAAGTTGCCCTCATAAAAGCCAGGAGGGAATGCAACAATATATTTTAAGTACTGAAAGAAAATATATGCTAACCAAGGATATTTTACTCAGCAAAGTTGTCTTTCATAAATGAAGAAGTAAAGACTTTCTAGGACAAACAAAAGCTGAGGGAATTTATTAGCACCCAGACCAGCCTTACAAAAGACACTAAAGTCCTACATTCAGAAGCAAAACAAAGGGGTCTGCACTGTGGTGCAGCAGGTTAAAGCCCTGTCCTGCAGCACTAGTTCAAGTTCCAACTGTACCATTTTTGATCCAGCTCCCTGCTAATGCTCCTGGGAAAGCAGTGGAGATGGCCCAAGTGATTGGACCCCTGCATCCACATGGGAGACCTGGAAGAAGCTCCTGGCTCCTGGCTTCGGCTCAGCTGAGCTCTGGCTGTTGCAGCCATTTGGGGAGCGAACCAATGGGTAGAAAACCTTTCTCTCTGTCTATACCTCTCTCTGTAACTCTTTCAAATAAATAAGTCTTTCAAAAAAAAAAAAAAAAAGCAAAAGAAAGCAAAACAACTGCCATGAAAATACATGTAAGTATAAGCCTGACTAGAAAAAGAACAAAGGATACTAAAAATTAACATGAAATTTTGAAAAAGTGACAGGACTAAGTCATTACTTATTAATAATAACCTTGAAAGTAAATGTACGGCCGGTGCTGCGGCTCACTAGGCTAATCCTCCGCCTGCAGTGCCAGTACTCCAGGTTCTAGTCCTGGTTGGGGCGCGGGTTCTGTCTCGGTTGCTCCTCTTCCAGTCCAGCTCTCTGCTGTGGCCTGCGAAGGCAGTGGAGGATGGCCCAAGTGCTTGGGCCCCTGCACTAGCATGGGAGACCAGGAGGAAGTGCCTGGCTCCTGGCTTTGGATTAGCACAGCGCGCCGGCTATAGCAGCCATTTGGGGGGTGAACCAACAAAAGGAAGAGCTTTCTCTGTTTATATCACTAACTCTGCCTGTAAAAAAAAAAAAAAAAAAAAAAAAAAAAAAGGGAAAGTAAATGCACTAAATCCCCCAATTAAAAGAAATAGACTGAGGGGGATCCAAGATGACAGAACAGAAAAAAAGGTATGCTGATTTTGACCAAAGGAAGATAACAAAAGGCGGAAAGGCAGAGTGTCTACATTCTTGCGGAAGAGTTGGAGAAAAGTTTGCAGAAATTCTGAAGAAGAGATACACCATGGAGCAGGGTGGATGCTGCAAGCATGCAACAGTGAGCAGGGATACCACCGGTGACTCTCACAGCCAGGGGTACAGGAGACGTCATCTTTTTGGAGCAAGGTAAGAGGAGACTGTGGCAACCTGTGTCACTGGGGATAGTGCCTGATGGAGAACCTTGCGGACCACACTGACTTTGAGTTCAGCTTGGAGTGCTTGTGGGGTAGGGAGAGTCCACCTAGCTCATGAAGGGAGAGCACACTTGTTTCTCCCCATTCCCTAATAAAGGCAACTGGCAACTGGCACAGAAGAAGTACCATCTTATTAACATGAGTAGAGGCTGTGGTGCCTCATGTGTGTGCACAATAGAGAATTTTACTAGAGGAATATATCTGCAGTCCCCCACTGACTTTGAGTCTGGCCTGCACAGTTGGCAGGGGGTGGGGCATCCACTTGAGACTGTGAGGTGCTTCCCCTCACCCTCTTGACTCTATCATAGGCACCCAGACTGAGACTGCCAAGGAAGAGTATTGACAGGCAGCTGGCTCTGGGAATACCTCTGCTCTCTCCATGGACAGGGCAAGCTTGTGGGGCTGAGACTGGATCCCCTACTCCCAGTGACTATGGGAACATTGCAACTTATGACTATGGGAATTCTCTGACTGTATGATAGGGTGTGGGGTGTAGCTGGGTCTCTGCTCAATCACTGTGTCTGGCTTCAAAGCTCAGTTTATTTGAGTGTCTGGGTGGTTCACTGCAGAGGGTTCTGTGCTCCCACTGATGACATTGTGGATCCTTTGTGTGGTTCATGTCTCTGTGTAGGAGGGCTGTGTAGCCACATGGGCTAACCCTGGGCATTGACCACCTGGAAGAGAAGTGAGGCTGTGATCATGCCAGCCGACATGATCATACCCTCCACCCTGCTAAGAATAGAGATCTACCATGCCCAACTTGGGTGTCACCCAAGATTCTTGCCACACCCTGGAGCAATGACCACAGCTTCCTGGCCCCACTCAGCACATGCTTCTGGATATCCACTGAAGGAGCAGATACTCCACTAAGCCACGAGGCATGTTTCAAAGATGAAAGCCATCAGAGGAGAAAATCAGTAAGATTCTCTGCAAATGCCTAAAAATAAACATAAAAATACAAGAAACAAGAATAAGGAAAACAATATGAGTCTCCAAAAGGAAAATAGCAGCACTTCAATACTATAATGCAAAGATTAAAAAAAACAATGTGAATATGGAGAGAATGATGGAATGCATTAAAAGGAATTCAAAAGAATGATCATAAGATCACTCAAAAACAGAGAAGGAAATATATGAGTTAAAGAAATCCATACACGACATGGATGAAAAATCTTGTCACAAGATAGATATATTGAAGATAAATTAAACTTAAGTATTTGAGTTGAAGAATTCAATATGTCAAATAGAAAATACAGTGGATGGGCCAATACCGTGGCTCACTTGGTTAATCCTCCTTCTGTGGCACCAGCATCCCATTTGGGCACTGGGTTCTAGTCCCCGTTGCTCCTCTTCCAGTCCAGCTCTCTGCTATGGCCCGGGAAGGCAGTGGAGGATGGCTCAAGGTCTTGGGCACCTGCACCTGTATGAGAGACCAGGAAGAAGCACCTGGCTCCTGGCTTCGGATCGGCGCAACGCCGGCCGTAATGCCCATTTGGGAAGTGAGGCAATGGAAGGAAGACCTTTCTGTCTGTCTCTCTCTCTCACTGTCTAACTCTACCTGTCAAATAAAAAAAATAAAAATACTGTGGAAAGTCTTAACAACAGTCTTGGAAATATCTCAGTCAGAAAATAAAATAAGTAAAATTAGAAAAACTGAAAACAGTACTTGAGATTTATGAGATAATATCAAATGACCAAACAAACATGTCTTAAGAGTTCCTGAAGGTATGGAAAATGACAATGGAGAAGGCCTACTCAGTTATATAATAGCAAAAAACTTCCCTAATCTGGAAAAAGGGACATCCAAATATTGGAAGCACATAGAACTCCTAGTAGATACAATCAGAAAGGATCTTCACCATGATACATTATAGTCAACAACAAAACATAAAAAAATATTCTAAAATGTGCACAAAAGAAATGCAGATTACCTTCTGAGGCACCCCAATTAGACTAACAGAAACAGAACAATAGCCACAATCAGAAAGAATGTGAAGGCTGAAAATCTCCTAGTAAAAGAAATCCAAAGTGAATAATAGGAATATTTATGGAAAAATGGCAGGATCAAGTTGTTACTTATCAATAATAACCTTGAATGTAAAAGATACAGACTAGCTGAAAGGATTAAAAAACAAGACTCATCTATTTGCTGCCTACAAGAAACACACCTCACTGCAGATACATGCAGACTGAAAGTGAAAGAATAGAAAAGGATATTCCATGCCAATCAAAATCAAAACAGAGCAGGAGTAATCATACTAATATCAGACAAAATAGAATTTAACACAAAAATTGTTAAGGGACAGAAAAGGGCATTATGTAATGATTAAGGGATCAATTCAATAGGAAGTTGTAACTATAGTAAATGTTTATGCACCCAAGGCCAGGGTACCTAGCTCTTTAAAGCAAATGTTAATGGATCTAAAGGGAGACAGGCTCTAATACAACAATAATGGGGGGACTTCAACACCCTACTTTCATCAAAGGACAGATCAACTAGACAGAAAATCAACAAAGAAACAATAGAGCTAATCTATACTACAGGCTAAGTAGACCTGATATCTACAGAACATTTAATCCCACAGAAACAGAACATCCATTGCTTTTATCAGTGCATGAATTTTCTCTAGGTTAGATCATATGCTAGGCCACACAGCAAGTCAACAAATTCAAAAACACTGAAATGATACCATGTATCTTTTCTGACTACAATGGAATGAAACTGGAAATTAACAGCTTAAGAGACTAAAGATATGCAAACACATGGAGGCTGAACAACATGATTCTGAATGAACAGTGAGTCATAGAAGTCAAAACAAAAATTTAAAAAATCCCTAGAATGATCGATTATGACCACACAACATATCAAAACATTTGGAATACAGCAAAATCAGTGTTAAGGGAGATACTTACAGCAATTAGTACCTATATCAAGAAATTGGAAAGACATCAGAAAAATGACCTAACAAAGCATCTTAAGGATCTTGAAAAAACAAGAACAAATCAAAACCCAAATCAGTAGGAGGAAAGAAACTGTTATAGAGAAGAAATAAAACTGAAACAAAAATACAAGAGATTAGTGAAATGAAGAGTTGGTTTTCTTGAAAAAATAAAATTAATACACTATTGACCCAACTAACCAAAAAAAGTGAGAAGACCCAAATTAATAAAAATCAGAGATGAAAAAGGAAATGTAACAACAGATAACAGAAATAAAAAGCATCATCAGGAATTAATATATGCCAACAAATTAGAAAATCTAGAAGAAATGGATAGGTTTTTGGACACATACAATCTACCAAAATTGAGCCATGGAGACTTAGGAAACCTAAATAGACAAATGAGAAAGATAGAGACTGAATCAGTAATAAAAAACTTCCAACAAAGAAAAGCCCAGGGTCAGATGGTTTCACTACTGAATTTGACCAAACTTTTAAAGAACTAATTATCAAACTATTCAAAAAAATTGAAGGGAGGGAATCCTCCCAAACTCTTTCTATGAGGCCAGCATCAGTTCAAAACCAGAAAAAAATAAAACAGAGAGAACTGTAGACCAATATCCCTTGTGAACATAGATGCAAAAGCCCTCATCAAAATACTAGCAATTTGAATCCAACAACACATCAGAAAGGTCATTCACCCAGACGAGGGGGGATTTATCCCTGATATGCAGGGATGTTTCAACATATGCAAATCAAAAAATGTGATAGATCACATTAACAAACTATGGATCCATAGATCCATAGTAGTATTTCATAATGTATATATATCACATTTTCTTTTATCCAGTTATCAGCTGATGAAATCCTGTCTTTTTCAACAATATGGATGCAACAGAAACCTATTATGCTTAGGGAAATAAGCCAGTTTCAAAAAGACAAATATACTATTCTCTGATATGTGGCATTTAATACTGAATACAAAATATGCACAGGAATGAAATGGACATCTTATGATATGGTTGTCAGTTTTAGTCCTTGTTTATACTCCTGTGAAACTGTGGTATTCCTACTTTTTACCTGTTGAATATTATGGGTAGTTGTGAATTAAGCCTGTGATTACAGAATGGATTAAAATTATGTCTTTGCAAAAATTAATGAAAAGAAAAGAAGGGAGGGAAGGCAAGGGATTGGGGAAGGGAGAAGGGAGGTATTGTTATCTTCTTAGAATTGTATCTATGTAGTATGTGAAATTTGTTCTCTTTGTATTTATACAAATTAAAAAATGCTAAAAGAAAAAAGACTGGATAGATTAAAAACACAAGACTCAAAAAATACGCTGTCTTCAGGAAGCCCATTTCACCAATAAAGACACACAGATTGAAAGTGAAAGAATAGAAAACAATATTCCAGGCAAACAAAGCAAAAGTGAGCAGGAGTGGCTATACTTATGTCAGACAAAACAGATTTTAAGATAAAAATTGTAAAAAGAGACAAAAGTAGTTACTATTAAATGACCAAGAGATCCACTCAATAACAATATATGACCTTTGCAAAATGTTTGTGCACCTAATGCTGGTGCACCCAATTTTATAAAATAGACATTCTTAGGTATAAAATGAGAGATAAGCTCCAACACAATAATAGTGGGGGAACTTCAAGCCCTACTTTCATCAGTGGATAGATGAAAGTCAAAAGAAACACAGACTTAAATACCACAACAGATGAAATGAAAGACTGTCCAACAGCTACAGAACACACATAGAACATTCTCTAGGATAGAACATATACTAGGCCATCAAACAAGTCTCAACAAGGTCAAAGAAACTGAAATCACATCATCTATTTTGTTTTTTGACCACAATGGAGTAAAGTAAAACTCATCCTTAACAAAGAAATGAAGAAATTATACAAATACATAGAGATTGAACAAACATGGTCCTGAATGAACATGGGTCACTGAAGAATTAAAAGGGCATTTAAAAATCACTTAAAACTAATGAAAATGGAAAAATAACATTCAAAAGTTTATGGGATATAGCAAAAATACCATGATGAAGGAAATTTATAGCAATAAAATATCTATATAAAATAGAAAGATATCAAATATCCAATCTAATGGCACATCTCAAAGATCTAGAAAAGCAAAGCAAACCATGCTCTACACAAGACCATTGGTTGAACTCTGCAATCAATGCACAACCATTCTTAAGCGTTTAAAAAATAACAGGAAATTGATCTCTGTGGAACATGGGAGTGGGAATAAGAGAGGGAGGAGATATATAGGATGGCACATACTCACTCAGACCTACCTCCAATGGTGGAACTGGAAACGTGCCAGGGGATTTCAACTCAATCTTACCAAGGAGGCAGGTACCAATGCCAGCACACTTGGTAAAGTGACAAATATAAATACACAACTGATCAAAAAGATAGGGTAAGTGTCGAAGAGATTACACAAATAAGACCAGTGTAAGCAAATAATGAAAGATAGAATCAAAAGGGAGAGAATGATCCTGCGGGGGAAGCAGGACACACAGCAGACTCATAGAATGGCAAATGCCCAAAACAGCACTCCTGCCTCAGAATCAACCCTTGGGACATTCGGATCTGACTAAAAGGTCCATGAGAGTCTCGCAGGCATGGAAAGCCATGACACGGTGGCAAAAAACAATCTAAATGAAGGATCCTGGTGAACAACACCCCAGCAGAAGGATCAGGCCATCAAGGAGAGAGGCGCCTTTCTCTGAAGGGAGGAAGGAACCTCCACTGTGATATGGCCTTGACTAAACAAATTCAGAGTTGGTGAACTCAAGGGGCTTCCATAGCCTAGACAGCTCATAGCAAGAATCTCGGGTGATTGCTGACATCATAAATAAGAGTGCCAATTGTTAAATCAACAACGGGAGTCACTGGGTTCATGCTCCCCACGCAGAATCTCTGTCCTTAATATGTTTATCTATGAAACTCAAAAACAACACTACTAGTCGAACAATACCCTATACCTGGTTCGGTTGTGTAAGTGCAACCTGTTGAAATCCCTGCTTAATATTATACTAAGTTGATCTTCGGTATATGAAGGTAATTGAAAATGAAACATGATGAAGGGCGGGATGGGAGAGGAAGTGGGTGAGGGGAGGGCCACGGGACGGAGGGAGGTCGGGGGGAAGCCACAACAATACAAAAGATGCATTTTATATTCTACTTAAAACTATTGGTTGAACTCTGTAATTAATACACAATTACTCTTAGGTGTTTAATCAATGCTATAACTAGTACTCAAATAGTATTTTACACTTTGTGTTTCTGTGTGGGAGCAAAATGTGGAAATATTTACCTAACATACGCTAAATTGATCTTCTGTATATAAAGATAATTGAAAATTAATCGTGATGTGAAGGGGAAGGGGAGAGGGAGTAGGAGAGGGGAGCGTTGTGGATGGGAGGGATGACACAGTGGGGGAGGAGGCTATTGTGGTCCATAAGCTGTACTTTGGAAATTTATGCTCATTAAATAAAAAAAAGAAAAGAAAAGCAAACCGAACTCTAAGACAGAATGAAATAATAAATATCAAAGGAGATAAATGAATTAGACACGTAAACATACACAAAAGATCAATGAAATAAAGAACTGGCTTCTTGAGAAAATTCAAAAAAATCAATAAACTTTTAGCTATACTTAGGAAAACAGAGAAGTCTCAGATAAAATCAGAGGAGAAAATCAGATTTCATAACATATCTAAGAAATACAAAGAACTTCAGGTACAATTATGAACAATAGTATGCCACCAAATTTGAAAACCTGGAAGAAATGGATAAATACATGGGTACACTGTACTTGGAATGCATGAGATCTATTCTCTTTAAATTGACAAAAATTTAAGAAATTACCAAAATTGAAACTTGACTAATTAGCATCTCCCAAAAGACTACTATTGAATAATGAGATTTAAACAGTAATCATAAGTCTCCTAATGAATTGTATCAAATGATTTTGCTGTTGAATTCTACCAAACCTTTAAAGAAGAACTAACACCAATTCTTCTCAAATTATTCCAATAACCTTAAAGAGAAGGGAATATTTCCAAATTCATTCTCCAAGACCAGTATCACTATGATATAAAAATCTCAAGAGGAGGGCTGGCACCATGGCACAGTTAATCTTCTGCCTGCAGTGCCAGGATCCTACACGGGCACTGGTTCTAGTCCCAGTTGCTCCTCTTCCAGTCCAGCTCTCTGCTGTGGCCTGAGAAGGCAGTGGAGGATGGCCCAAGTCCTTGGGCCCCTGCACCACATGGGTGCAGGAAGAAGCACCTGGCTCCTGGCTTCAGATCGGCACAGCACCGGCCGCAGTGGCCATTTGGGGAGTGAACCAGCAGATGGAAGACTTCTCTCTGTGTCTCTATTTCTCTCTGTAACTCTTTCAAATAAATAAAATAAATCTCCAAAAAAATCTCAAAAGTAAAATTAAAAAAATTAAAACTATGGGTTAATAGCCTTGATAAATTTAAATCTTTTAAGTCCAAAGTTTCTCAACAAAATTTGAGCAAATCAAATTCAATAGATTAAAAAAGATCATTCATCATGATCAAGTGTGATTTATCCTGAGATGCAAAGATTGTTAAAATATGCAGATAAGTAAATATAATACTCCAAATCAATAGGATGAAGGGTAATACTCATATAATCATTTAAATAGATGCATGGAAAGCTTTCCATACAGTTCAACACCCATTTATGATAAAAATCTTGAAGCAATAGGTATAAAAGAAACACGCTTTGATAGGATAAAGGTTATATATAACAAACCCACAGCCAACTTCATAGTGAGAAGTTGAGAACATTTCTTCTAAGATGTAGAAATCGACGAGGATGACAACTTTTATTACTTTTATTCAACACAGTATTGGAAGTTCTAGCCATTGCTAATAGACATGAGAATGAAATGAAAGCCATACCAACAGGAGAGGAAAAAGTTAGATTATCTCTATTTGAGGGTGACATGATTCTCTAAATAGCAAAACCTATACTCCACCAAGAGGCTATCAGAACCTACACATTTAGTAAAGTCAAATGACATATAAGTACAACACACACTTTCATACAGCAATAACTAACACATTGAGAAAGAAATTTTGAAGGTAATTCTGCTCATAAAAGCTATAATAAATAAACTTCAGAATAAATTTAACCAAAGAAGTGAAAAACTACTACAATGAAAATTACAAAACACTATGAAAGAAATTGAACAAGACACAAAAACATGGAATTACCTTTCATGTTCTCAGATTTGAAGATATAATATTGTTAAAATGTCCACATTACCCAAAGTCATTTATAGATACAGTACAATTTCAATAAAAAAGTCAATGACATTATTCTCAGAATTAGACAAAAAAATTCTAAAACTTCATTTGCAAATAAAGAAGATCTCAAAGAGCCAAAGCAACTTTTAACAATAAGAAAAAAGCTGGAGGCATCATAATTCCAGATTTTAAAACATACCACAAGGCTAATGTACCAAAACAGCATGGCACTGGTAGAAAAGAAGAAACACACACCAGACCAATGGAGCAGTATACAGATACCAGACATTGATCAATAACATCTACAACCAACCAGTCTTTGACAATGGTGCTAAAAACATGCATTGAAAAACTGGATATCCATATGCAGAAGATTTAGACTTGGGATTCTACTTCTCACCCTATACAAAAAAACAATTCAAAATGAATCAGATTCAAATGTAAGACCTGAAACAACTAGACGAGAATGTAAACACTTCAAGACATCAGCATAGACAATAGTTTTTTTTAGATAAAACATCCAAAGCACAGGCAACAAATATAGAAATAGACACATGAAATTATATCAAACGAAGGAAATTCTGCACAGTAAAAAAAAAAAAATCAACAGAGTGAAGAGACAGCCATAAGAGTAGGAGAACATATTTGAAAGTATGCACTGAAAGAAATAATAGAGTATTTAAGAAACTAAAAATTGAATAAACAAAAATAATTTAAGAAAGGAGCAAAGGTTCTATAGACATTTTTCTGAAAATGAAATACAAATGGCCAGAAAATACATGTAAAAATACATGAAAAACATGCCCACCAGAGAAATGCAAATCAAATCATCTCACTTCAATTAGAACAGTTAGCACACAAAAGAAAAAAATATCAATTTCTGGTGAGGATGTGGAGAAAAGAGAATAGTAATAAACTGTCAGAACTCAAAATAGTACAGTCATTATGGAGAATAAGATGGAGCTTCCTTTAAAAAACTAAAAAAACAGATCTACTAAATGATCCAACTATTCACTTCTGGATATATACATGAAAGACATGCAATCAGTATACAACAATGATACCTGCACTCCCATGATCACTGCAGGGCTATTCACAATAATCAAGAAATAGAATCAATGTAGACCTGCATCAATGAATGAATGAACAAAGAAAATATGGTGTATGTATTCAACAGAATATTACTCAGCTATAAAAATAATGAAATCATGACATGTTAAATGAAATAAGCCAGACACAAAAGACAAATATGTTTTCTCCCATATGTGGAAGTTAAAAAATAATCAATATGAATTCATAATAGTGATTATTAGAGGTTAGGAAGGGTGGGTGGAAGAGAGACAAAGGAAGGTTGAGTAATGGGTACCAAAACATTGTCAGAAGTAGTTAGTTCTAGTGTGCCATGGTACACCGAAATGAAATTAATTCATAGTAATGGATTATATGTACTCTATAAATAACTTCAAAAGAGGAGATAGTAGGCTCCAAACACAAAGAAAATATTAGGAAATAGAAAAGCTAGTTGTCTGGTCTATGATTGGTTTACATGGTATATGTAGCCCATAAAAATGTACAAGTATTTACATGTCAACACAAAATAAAAGTTTTTAAAAAACATCATTACTCGGGGCCGGCGCCATGGTGCACTAGGTTAATCCTCTGCCTGTGGCGCCAGCATCCCATACAAGCACCTGGCTCCTGGCTTCAGATCAGCACAGCTCTGGCCATAGCGGCCATTTGGGGAGTGAACCAGCGGAGTGAAGACCTTTCTCTCTGTCTTTCTCTCTCACTGTCTGTAACTCTACCTGCCAAATAAATAAATAAAATCTTTAAAAAAACAAAACAAAAAAACCCACCATGAATCAACACTCAACATGATGTTTTGAGATTCCCTTATTTAACTGCTTTTATAGTCTTTAATTCACATTACAGAGTAATCTTTAGTATGTTATGCTTAATATGATTACACTAAGGAATCATAAACAAATCAGGTATAAACAGATCCTGGGTAAGCATTGACCAGTTTCCTTGAATGGCAACATTTCATAAAACTAAAGCATAATATCACAAACAGGGATAATAATATTGATAAAAACACAATTGAGAGTTTAATTTAATTGAGAGTTCCTTAGTTTTATTTATATTCTATGTATGTGTGTGTGTGTGTGTTAAGCTTCAATTTTATCACATGTATACTTTTGTGTATCTACAATAGTCAAGATACTAGACAGTTCCACTTTTTTCTGATACTATCCTTTGACAACCAAAAATATATTCATTTATAAAAATTTTTGTCATTTAAAAATGCTATATTAAGTGGAACCATACACTTATTACATTAATACAAAGTAATTAATACAAAGTAATAATACTTACTACATTAATACAAAGTATTGATCTTTGGGTATTGTCACTTTTTACTTAGCATAATTCCCTAGATATTCACTTAAGTAGCTTTATGTACTGATTTTTCACTTCATTTTATTGATGAATAGTTTTCCAAGGTATAGAGATACTGCAATTGAAGGGCATATGCACTGTTTCCAG